GGCTCAGAGAGGGACCTGTCTAGGGTGACACAGCACAGCTGGAATGCCAGCGGCTACCAAGAGGCCCCCCTCTGGTGGTCCAGGCATCTGCAAGCACCCCTTCCCACGGGCTGTCTGCATCATTGTCCAGTTTAACCTTCTCTCACTAGCTCAGGGCCTTCACTCTGTGTCGCACCTCACATAGTCGCTCCCTGTGCCCGGTGCCTCTGGTACAGTCTGACCGGAGCAGTCCTCAGCGAGTGAGTTAGCAGCCAAGACGGCATTGGCTCCCAGGCCAGCGGGCTTCCCTGCATGTTCTGTCTCCAGGGCCCAGGGAGGTCTAGGTGTTGGGAGGATGGATGGCCGGGAGTGTGGAGTAGCACCAAATGGCCGGGGAGGAGGGCTATGAAGGGGGGTCTGCTGTAATTGTTGGAAGGCAGCTGGCCATTTGTTTTCGGTCAGATAAGCTGCCAAGCAGGACGAGGCCGGGATGGGGCAGGGGTGGGGCAGGGCACCCTGTGTGAGCGGCTGGAGAAAAGGGAGCGAATCCCAGAGTGGGCTGGGCAGCTGCCTGTTCCCAGGTCCTCCCCTCCCCTTTCCCTCCGATAGCTCGGCCAGCTGTTAGGGACACAGCTGCTGCTGCCTCTTGGGGAGGGAGACAAGGGCCCTGTTGCCCTGGGTGAGGTCCAAAGCTGTGGAGTTCAAAGCGAAGCTGTGGAGTGCGGGGCTGGAGCGGGGAGCGGGGAGCGGGGGGAGGGGTGAGAAGTCAGCGAGGGGCAGGCAGGCTTGCACTTTGAAGTCCCCCACCCAGAGCTTGGGCAAGGCCTGCTGAGGTTCCTGCGTTTTCCCCTCATCCCAGGCCCGTAGAGAGATCCAATTAACCACCCTTTCCTGTCCTCCAAGGAGGATGTTTATCCACGTCCCTGGCCCACCATGCACTTTCTGTGTAAACACTGCACACATGCCCCATGCACACACGAGTCCCGTGTGCTCACAGGCGACCCCACGGCACACACCAGCCCTGCCCGCACATGCCCACAGCCACACGGGTATGGGCACAGGGCCAAAGTCTCTCGGCCAGGAAACAACCTGGGGGTGGGTGGGGGGCTATTGATTCACTGACTCCAGAGGTCCCCGCTCTCCTCTAGGGGGCTGGTCTGGGACCCCTTTCCGTCAGGAGCTGTTCCTCTCAGGCCATCACAATACCCTGAGAAATCACCCAGGAGAGACAGACGTCCCCCAGGAAACCCGAGTGGCCTCTCCAGGGCAGGCCAGCCCCGGGACACTGGCCAGTGGTCCTGCCTTCGCTGCTGGTTTGCCAGATGGCTCAGGTTAGATCACTCTGGATCAATTTAGCACAAAGATGCCCTTGTTAGCGAAGGAAAGCAGCCTTGGGGTGAAGACCAGTCTTGCCCCTCCATTTCCTGAGGTGCTCCTACGGCTGTAAGTTACCAGGCACCAAATGGAGGGGCTATGGGATAAAAAGCAGGTTCTGCCCGGGCACGCTCTCTGGTGAGCGCTACCTTCTGGGCCTTGGGGGCACCTGTGGTCTGGTCCTATTTGCTAAACTCTCATCTTCTGTGCTGGACGGTCAGGGACTTCGGGCCTCGGGCCGCGTGAGGCATGAGGTGGGCTCATTCTGCTCATTTCTGCCACTGCAGGGCCACTCGGGCCATCTGGGTCCAGCTGACTCTTGGCTGGAGGCCAGGTCTTATCAACACTCCACCCACTCTGGCCCCCATCAGCGGTCCCGTCCCAGCCTTGCCCCTATTCCCTCTCATTTCAACCAGTCCGACTCCTCGGGTGAGATTGACTGTGAGGCCGAGGCTCGAGGCGCGGGGATTAGAGTGATGGAGGCTACTCTCTCCCACGGGTCTCCATCCGGCTCAGGACCCAGGTGGGAACAGCCTGGGGGAGGGACTTGATTTTGGGGCACTCTGAGCTCACTTGCACCCCTGGTTCCCAACTGCAAAGAAAGGAATACCTGCATCCTTCTGGGAGAAGACCTGGAGACACCAGGGGTCTTGAACTTGGCCCTTGTCCTGGAACGTCCTGAGCAGTCATTTTTATACGTGACGGGGACATGAACTGTGAGCCGACTTGAACCAAACAGGTTCCCGCACGACGCTAACGTCCCTTCTGAGAGGTCGAGGTGGAAGTGACATGGCTGAAGGTTAGCTGGTGCCACCCGCGCTTGCTGTCGGGTTACAGTGACAGTCAATCATTCTGCCATCCACACAGGCTTCCCCTGGACAAGCACGCAGGAGCAAGCCGGGGCCAGGCAGCTTGTACCCTGGGTACTGGGAGAGCTGGGAAGCCCCAGCTGGGGTCCTATGGGGTGTCCCGACTCCATTTTGCAGACTGCACGATTCCGGAGGCCGGGTCCTGTCAAGGTGCCAGTTGGCATCAGGCAGCCAGGGATCCTCTTTGGGAGTGGCCGGGCACAGCACTGTGTCTGCACCAAGCTATGTTGCCAACCCCAAGGGTTTAGTGCAGACTGTCTCCTGGAAGGGTTCTTCTACCCTGTTCAATCAAGAGTGGGGAGTCTCTCTAAAATATCTTAGTCAGTCTATTTTTACTTTTCCCCAACAGAGTTTATTTCAAAGTAAATTCTATGTCTCCCAGCACCATTGTGTATTTCTATAATGCTCAACAGATGAAAAATGCCTCAACTTTAAGGAGGTTGGAGTTTTTTCTTTGGGAACAGAGTGGTTTAGTCCATGGACTCAAGATAACCTTGGTTCAAATTCTGAATCTGACAGTCACTAGCTGGGTGACTGACCTTGGCCAAGTTACTTCCCATGTCTCAGTTTCCTCATCTGGAACACGAGGAACCTACTTCCTAAAATTGTCTTGCTAATTAGAAGAGATAACAAGTACACATAAAAAAATGTTTAGAAGAATGTCTAGCGCGTAGCAGGGGCTCAGTGTGGAACACCAAGGTGTTCTCTTTCCCACAATGCCTTTGGGTGAAGGTCATCCAGGACCCTCAGGATCTTTCTTATTGTTCTCTCCAGCCCCTCCTGCATCTCCCCAGTGCATCCTAAGGCTTTGGCTATATTTATTTTTATTTTTTATCTTTGCATTTTATGTTTTTTTCTCCTGGACTATGCTCCCTAGTTTTCTCTGACCTTCTATTCTTGGCAAGCTCCATCAACTGGGGGACATGTTTTCCTATCCTGCCCATCTTTTATTTGTTGTTGTTGTTAAATCCTCCCCCAAGGATATTTTCCCATTTATCTTCAGGTAGAGTGTGAGGGAGGGAGAGAGAGAGAGAGAGAAACATCGATGTGAGAGGGACACATCGATTGGTTGCCTCCCTCACGACTCTGACCAGGGCTGGGGACCAAAACGCAACCAAGGTACATGCCCTTGACTGGAATTGAACCCACAATTCTTTGGTCCACTGGCAGACGCTCTAACCACTAAGCAAACTGGCCAGGGCCTGCCCTCTCTTTTAACAAATAAATTTAATTTCCCAAATTTACAAATCAGGAAATTTCTCAGAAAATCCAGAATTTGAAGTTGTGTTCAAAAACCAGAAGGCATGGAAATGCTGGCAACCAGAGACTGAGCTGAGGCGTCCTTCTGATGGAGTGAGCCTGCTCTGGTTTGCCGCAGTCTCCACCACTCCCCGTTGTCTCAAACTGGCTGCTTTACCCCTACACATGCTTAGCCTGGTCCTTGTGGCTATGTGATTTTGGGGGTTCCTGCTTTAAGACCTCTGTGGAAAATTTTCTCATCAAACCTCCTTGAAGACAATGGATTCTAGTTTTGTAAGCCTTTTGCTTGGGATGTGGGCAAGACTCTTTTCCTGATTTTTACATCATCTCACCTCTGCCCAACTTCAGATGGCTTCCTCCACTCTTGGGGAGTGGGGTGGGTATTTCTTTTTTTTTTTTTTAACTTTATCTTGTGCATCCCTCTCTCCTCCCTGCCCAGAGGTCCTGGAGAGGTAGGCAGGTAGGGCAAAATGAGTTTCTATAGAACTGTGCCCATGGCATTTACTCAGCAGCTGCCCCTTTCTCTGCCCCCTCTGCTGGCTGTAACTTCCTGTCCCCACATGGCCTTACAGAAACCTCCTGGTCCACGTGGGGCATAAGGACCCGAGGACTGAATCGCCTCCATGTTCTGATGGCATAGTTCTTCATAAATTTATTCCTCTCCACGTGGGCGCCTCTTTTCATTCTCTCCCTGATTCATCCATTCACTTATTCACTCACCAACCATTTAGTGATCACTTACTACATGCTAGGCACTGTGTTAGGTGCTGGGAGAAGAGGAAAACAAACAGCAAAACCAGAACCACAGTCATCCTGTGACCTTGGGCAAAAGACATTTACCTCATTGGGCCTCGGTTTCCCGGCAGGTTTAATGACTTGATTAGGTATTGTTCTGTCTTGGGGTTTCTTTCATCCTGTGACTCTGTCCTGACCCTAAAACTTCCTATGCTATCTGCAAACTACTATCTGCCAAGAGCTTATGAATGCTAGGGAAATCCCCCTGTGACTGTGTCTGTCAAGAGGATCAAAGCCCAAAGGAAAAGGAGAGAGAAGTGAGCATGAAAAGGACCCTAGTCTGGCCTGGGCGGGGGCTAGCACGGCAGGAGTGGAGAGAGGGTGGGACACTCAGACCATCCTTCCAAATCTCACACCCTCTTGTCCCCAACCCGCCCTGGCTCCAGCTCAGGCTAGATTCCAATCTGCATAATTTGCCCCATTTCGAGAAGATGGGAGGGGTGAGAACGGCAGGGTGCTGAGGACTGGAGGAGGGGGCGCTCCAAAGGCCAGGGGCGGGGCCTGGAGGAGAGCGGGCTGCAAGCCATAGATAACATTCTGCCCAGCACTGCAGGGGTCAATTTGGTCCACTTGCCCAGGGACAAGAAGGGAAAAAAAAAAAGTGGGCTGTAACTTAAAGATCTTAAGACTCAAGTGAGGGGTTGGTTTGGAGGTGGGAGGTGGGAGGAGGGAGTGACAGCCAAGGAGGAGACAGGGATTCAGGAGGGCGCAGGAAGTGTCTTAGCTCAGGCTGGGCAAGGCAGGAGAGGGTGGAGGGGCGTCTGCAGGAGCAGGCATCCTCCAGGGCCCCGAGAATCCACAGGCAGCTCCCCCAGCTGCTGGGAAGGGCTCTGGACACCTTCAGCTCTTCTTGCCTGCTCTCCAAGGCTCAAGCTAGAAGCTCCCGGCGTTTGCTTGCTGAGTTGGCGACAGCCACAGAGCTGGTTCCCCCGGGGACCCCCTGCCTGTCTTCTTGCCGCCCCCCAGCATGGAGGGAGGTGTTGATTTTGACAACGACTATGTGGCAGACAACCAGTCTGAGTGTGAGTACACGGAATGGACATCCTCGGGGGCCCTCATTCCTGCCATCTACATGCTGGTCTTTCTCCTGGGCACCACGGGCAACGGCCTGGTGCTCTGGACAGTGTTCCGAAGCAGCCGGGAGAAGAGGCGTTCTGCCGACATCTTCATCTCCAGCCTGGCGGTGGCCGATCTGACTTTCGTGGTGACCCTGCCGCTGTGGGCCACCTACACGTACCGGCACTACGACTGGCCCTTTGGCACCTTCGCCTGCAAGCTCAGCAGCTATCTCATCTTCGTGAACATGTACGCCAGCGTCTTCTGCCTCACCGGCCTCAGCTTCGACCGCTACCTGGCCATTGTGAGGCCGGTGGCCAACGCGCGGCTGCGGCTGCGGGTGAGCGGGGCCGTGGCCACGGCCGTCCTGTGGGTGCTGGCCGCCCTCCTGGCCATGCCGGTCATGGTGTTCCGCGCCACCGCCCCCACAGTGTTCCCCGAAAACGTCACGAAGGTCCAGTGCTACATGGACTACTCCATGGTGGCCACTCCCAGCTCGGAGTGGGCCTGGGAGGTGGGCCTGGGGGTCTCGTCCACGGCCCTGGGCTTCGTGGTGCCCTTCACGGTCATGCTGACCTGCTACTTCTTCATCGCGCAGACCATCGCCGGCCACTTCCGCAAGGAGCGCATCGAGGGCCTGCGCAAGCGGCGCCGGCTGCTCAGCATCATCGTGGTGCTGGTGGTGACCTTCGCCCTGTGCTGGATGCCCTACCACCTGGTGAAGACGCTCTACATGCTGGGCAGCCTGCTGCACTGGCCCTGCGGCTTCGACCTCTTCCTCATGAACGTCTTTCCCTACTGCACCTGCGTCAGCTATGTCAACAGCTGCCTGAACCCCTTCCTCTACGCCTTCTTCGACCCCCGCTTCCGCCAGGCCTGCACCTCCATGCTCTGTGGGGGCGCCTCCCACAGCAGCAGCGGGGAGAAGTCGGCCAGCTACTCCTCGGGGCACAGCCAGGGGCTGGGGCCCAACACGGGGAAGGGCGGAGAGCAGACCCAGGAGAAATCCATCCCCTACAGCCAAGAGACCCTTGTGGTTGACTAGGGTGGGGATCTCAGAGAGCCTGGTGCCCTCCGCCCCAGCCCCTGCCCTTGCTCTCCGAAAGTCAGGCAGCATCAGGGCACCTTGTCTCTTGCACCTGATTCCCCCGGGCTCCCTGCCTCCCACCCTCCTCTTGTGCTCCTTTCTCCTTTAGCCTTGGCCGGAGGCTGTGGCATGAAGGAGAGACTGAGCCTCGTGGACCCGTGCTCGGCCACTCGACATCTGTGAGGCTGACTTTGCACAAGTCCCTTAACTTCTCGGAGCCTCAGTTTCTCCATCTGTGTGAAGTGGGGGCGTCACACCGACGCCGAAATGACGCGTGCGTCTGACTCAGTACACGCTGGTGTCTCCCCCTCCATCCTTTTCTCCTGGGATCTCCAGCTCTGTTCCCCCTCCTTCCCGTTTAGTTTTCTCTGTCTTCTTCCTCCCTTTGTTTCCCCCTCTATCTCTGCATATTTTCCTCTGAATCCGTACCTCTGGCTCCTGCTCCGTAGCTCATCTGTCCCCTCAATCCCTTTCTGCTTCCTCTTTTTACCTCCATGTTGCGAGGGGCTCCTAAGGGTTAAGAATCCTGCAGCTTGTAAACACTGCCCCTGTTCAAACTCTTTATCCTGTTCTCTGAGAAAGCCAAGGGGACCGGCCAGGCCGGGTGGGCTGGGTGTCAGCACATAGTTGGCGCCAGTTCTCCAACCTGCAGGGGGATCTCCAGAACTGTCCCCCAGATCCGATCAGAGTGCTGTGATTTCAGGCACCTCTAGGGGCTCCCTTCCTGCAACCCATCCGGTGCCTCCTAGATGTGCTTTCTGTAGTGTTCCTGGGACCCTGTCATTCATTCTCTGTTCTCTGCGGGAACTGGAGGCAGTGGTGTTGACAAGCAATGGGCTCCTTGGTTTCCTCCAGTGAAAGGGGGTGGGGGTTGGTGGGAATGGAAAGGGAGAAAAAGGGGAGTTGGCAATTGGTCTATGTGCTACTTGGCTTCTCTCCCCAAATCCTGGCCCCCAACCTCCTCCAGAACTGAGCTGACACACCCCACCCCTCAACCCCAGGATGCTTTTGTTGGGCACTGGTGCCACTCGGTGCCAAGAGTCACTTTGGCTATGGTGGAGACACTTGTCTTGTGTGTGTGTGTGTGTGTGTGTGTATGTGAGTCTGGGTGAGCATGACATGACAGCAGTGTGCTTGTGTCACTTGTCACTTGGATGAACCCCCCCCCCCCCTCATCGCCATTCTGCACACAGTATCTTTGAGGGAAGAAGGGACATACTGAGGCAACAGAATGAAAATGAGCTCACCCCCACTGGATTTGGGGGCTCTGACGGCTGGTCCGTGCTTTAAGAGAGAAGTCTATGTTTGTGTTGCCCCTGGCTCCTTTTAGGGACATCTCTCCCCAAAGCAGCTGCACCCGAGGCATGAGAACAAACTACAGTCCTGCTTCCTGAGGGAGACAGGGGGCTGGTGAAGAGCTTCCTTGGCTTCTCCCTCCCACGCCTTCTCACCTTGCTTTGAGTTTATGGGACTGTCCTTCAGCACCCTCCCTTCTCCAGGGTCTGTGACCCTCTTCCTAAGGAGGACACCTGCTTGCCACGGGGTGAAGAGCCCCCGTGGGCTTTTTCCTACTTTACCACAGGATGGGACCCTTGGCTTCTGCCACTAGGCTGAGGGCTGCGGGCAGCGGCTGTGCGGGGCTGACAGCATGACAGCCACACCTCCAGAGAGATCTTGAGGGTGAATCGATGGGGGGGCCTTTGTGAGTTGGGGGCAGTGTATGTTCCGGGTTTTGTCTTTGGAGGATTCTGGACGTGGAGGACAAGACATAAGCCACGGAGGCAGGAAGAGCCCAGCCTGGTGTACATGGACAGCTCGACCAGGCTGGCGTGGAGCCAGCTCTGGGGCAGGAGGAAGAGGAGGAGAATGGAGAGACTCAGCTTAGTCATCTCCCTACACAAGCCAGAATCTTCCACAGACTCACTTTCTTGGCCCAGGGCTGTCCTCAGAACATTCAGTCAAGGGTGAAAAAGCTTGTAGGAAGGAAGAGGTGCCCCTCTGAGACCCTCCGGGAACTTGCGGAGATCTCCTGCCTGGAACTCATCAGTCCTGAACTGAGGGAGCCCACTGTGTCCCTCGCTTGTCCCCACCCCTCCTCGGCTTCAGAATGCCTGCTCTTTTCCCACCCTGTTGGTCACTGTGGTCATCAAATAAACCTCTTTTGTGTAACTATTGTGTTCAAAGACTCTTCTCACACAATTTACAAACGCTACGTTGGGGGGGGGGTGTGCAAGGAGCCCAGCTGAGAGGAAAAAAGGGGGGGGTAGAAGCTCAAAGGACTAAAGTGGGAAACTGGGAGGTGGTGAGAGGAGGGAGAAAATAGACCCCAGGGGAGCCAAGAGAAAGGCAAAGGAAACAAAGGGATGGGAGCAGCTTAGTTTTTATGCTCAGAAAAGCCTAGAACATATGGGCACACATTTTGGAGTCTGGAGCACAGGTCTGGGGGAAAATATTAACATTTCTTTTTATGGAGGTAGACCTATTATTTATTCATTAATTTAGCCCTTTATTCATTTATCATCTCTTATTGACACATTCATTCATTCAAATCGTGTGAGCATCCACTCAGCTTAGATCAGAAGTTCCAATGCTCGTTCCCCAATCAGAGTCACTGGGGATGGTTTTGAAAATACTCCTCCTCATTGTCACTCAGACCAAGGAGTCCCAGTCTTCTGGACTCACCCCACATGTTTATAAGTACCCAAAGCTCCTCAGATGATTTTGGGGAGATGCTAAGTTTGGAGATGGCCTCGTTTGCATAGATTCTGTCCAAATTAACGTGGGCAGAGAAGACTGGAGAGGCAGAGGCAGAAGACGCCGGGCCCTGGATGGTCACGGAATTGGGGCAGGACAGGGCTAGAGTGATCCTCAGGGGCATTATTCAGTCCAGAGGCCTCCACCATCTTCCACAAAGACCTCTGGTACTAAAACCGTTTGCAGGTAACACAGAAGCCATCACAGTGGTAGAACGGGTAGGGACGGGAGTGCGCACACTCACTGTGTTTCACCACTGTGCTAGCATTTCCCAAGCACTGTTGCATTTAATCCTTGCCATTTTCACCTCATTCGGCTTATAAGAACACTGAGGGTCAGAAAGCTTAGTCCAAGATTACACAGCCGGTTCATGGAAGAGCCACACCTGGGACCAGCCAAGTCCAACTCCCCAGCCCACACTCTCCCAAAGTATAAATGAGGCTGTTCCAGGGGGGTGAGACGGAAAGTGAGGTATTATCTGTAAGGTGCCTGCCATATGTGGACGGCATGTAGACCACACGTGGAAGCTGCTCCATGATTGCGTGGGATGGGGGGGATGGGAGAGGGATGGTGGATGACACATGAGAGGGAGAAAGAGAGAGGAGCAGGAGAAAGGGGAGGGAAGAGAAACAGAGAAAGACAGAGACAGCAAAAAGAAGAGACAGAGATGGAGAGACAGAAGAGAAAGAGAGACAGAGAAGGGGGAGGTAGGTGGAAGTAGAAACTGGGAGGCAGGGAGGAACTGGAGGACAGGGAGGAAGCATTTGTTTTCAGTCTTTAGAAACACACCAGGGAAAACAACAAACTACTCATGCTATTTTTTTTTTTTTTTTTTTTAACAGATGCTGGAAAAACCTCACCAACTCTCCAGGGAAATTTGAGATAAATTATCCCCCACAAATTGTAAGATTATAGAGCACTTAATAATTCATGTGTTCACACATTTCTTCGTTCATTCACTCACTCACTCACTCACTCGCTCACCTGTTTCTTCAGCAAGTCCTTATTTATTACTTAGGTGCCAAGCAGCATGCTGGGCACAGGCTCAGATGGTGAACAGAACCCTGTGACTTCCAGTCTGGTGGTGGAGACAACTGAAGGAGTGATTATAATCAAGTGTGGTTCGAAGAAAGGGAATATAGACGGTGTGTGGATGGCCTAGTTCAAACAACAATATGAGTCTGGGCAGGTGTCTGGGGGCACTTTAGATGCACTTGCATTGCGAGGTGGCTGCTCTCGTAGGGTGTGGGTGAGTGGTCAGCGCAGAGGAAATGCCCACAGGTAAGGGGGCGTGCAACCCTTCTGAGGAACTGGAAAGAGCTCATCTGGTCCTCACTCCAACTCCACCCAGCTCTGGGAGGTGAGCCAGGCAGAGGCATGGGGAAAAACTTGCTCAGGTCTTAGAGTGTGGATGACAAGCAGATTGGTGGCTGAGACTAAACTCTGGGTCTTTAGACAACTTGGAGGAGTCAGAGATTTTGTTTTTTTCGGTGACTTCTAGTCTAGTTTCTCTCCACCTCCTGGGCTTGAGCTGTCTTCCTCTAAGATATCTGCCAGAGTCTCCTAAACAGGGGCTGGGAGTTCTGGGTGCTTTCATGCTGGGCTTGTTGGAGAAAGATGCTAAGAAGGAGCAGATGGATCCATTGGGAAGCTGGAATTACACTCAGCATAATAGAATCTAGAGATCAGGGCCCTGCCATCTCAGCGGGCACCACTCTGTCTGTACTCCAGGGGGTCTGAAGTTAGCAAGGCCGGATTCAGTGGGTGCAGCTCTCCTCAATGATTGCCCCAAAGGCTGATAAAGTCGCCGTGGGTGATGTTAGAGTCACACAGATGTGACTCAGGGAGCTTGAAATGAAGTGCATAGGGAAGGAGACTTGGAGATGCTGGGCTGATTCTGGAAGTTTCAATTTGTAGTTGGAGTGTTAGAGTATCAAGCGATGTCCACTGATTTACTCATTCAACAAACATTTATTCAGTACTTACTATGTGCCCGGGACTCTTAGAAGCTGCGGATACAGAGGTGGACCAGACATGATCTCTGTTTTCATGGAGCAACCTGAAGAACCTTCTAGTCTTACAAGCTAATCAGAGAAAGACAAATATCACACCATCTCACTTATTTGTGGAAGATAATGAACAAAACAAACTGATGAACAAAATAGACCCAGAGACACAGAAGTAGGGTTCAGATGACAAACCTCAGAAGAGGGGTGGAGGGGAGGGAGGAGATAAACCACAGAACTTATATGCACGTATGCAT